CTGCGTGGGATGGGATCCACGGGATGGATGTCTGGTCACTTGCTCCATGGGCGCGGGCGCGGGCGTAGGCGTAGGCGTAGACGTAGGCGTGGGCAGCGGTGGCGGCGGCGGCGGCGGCGGACGAGGAAGAAGAGGAGGAGGAGGAGGAGGAGGCGTCGGCGGTCGTGTCCGTCTGTTGGTGCTGCAAGCGTGCGTGCGTGAGCGCATGTACTCGAGGGCGCGGGCGCCGCGTGGTTGAGCAGTCGAGATGCGTCGGTCATCTCATCCCATCCCATCGCATCCCATCTCATCCGTCCCATCCATCCCGTGGATCCTGGAAGATGTCTTGCTTCTCAAGCTTGACGTGGGGGACGGAGCTTGGGGTGGTTCTTCCCCACCCATTGGTACCTCCTGCCCTGTCCTGTCCTGCCTTGCCTTGCCCTACTTTGCCTTGCCTGCACGGCTGCGCTGGTGGCCCTTCCTCGTTGTCGGCCCAGGGCTCCATCCAGCCTTCCTTGCGGTGAAGCCTTCCTTCCTCCCAGTGCCCCAGTGCACGCGCTCGAGTACAGCACAGTACCGGTACTGTATAATGTACTTCCTTTGGAAAGTACGAAGCAACCGCCCAGCCCATTGCTCCATTGCTGTTGCCGTTCTTGCACGTAAATGCTTGGCATCAGGGTCTCGTCATGCCTTGGCACGGAAGGAGCTGCGCGATACCTTAACTTCCGAGGAAGGCTCAGGTGAAATAATACAGCCGCTCATGGCATGAGCATGAGGCTTCCTTCTGCGAGGGTCCCGCCAAGTACCTACTAGGTACACCTTCACAAGCGCACCTCATGCTCGTACAGGTCGGTCTATAGGTACTTCGAACTCTTGCCGTCGTCGCCACTCTCTCTCAACCTCTCAACTCCACTTCCGCAGCCCGGAGACATGTTTCTACCACCGCAATACCTTCTTAGCCCCTCCCAGCCTGGCATCTATCTCGCCTCCTCTTCAGGCCCGCCTTGACACGTGAGGACATCGTTCGGATCGAGCACAGGCTCCTGGACAAGGTTGACCTCTTCTTCCACGGCTTCGTACGGCGATTCGACCAACAGCCGCCACGCAGCTACCAACTTTCTCTACAGGAGCCATGCCACCGCAGACCGATTGGGGACGGCGCCATCAGGGAAACCGCCGACGCTAGGCTGTCTATCCTGGTACCAACAGGTGGCATGGCACCCAGGCCAGCTCCGTGCTCGCGTGGGTGGCTGTCACTTCTCACAGCGCTGCTCGTTGCGCCAGTCACAACGGCTCGACCGCGTCAGTCTTCTGTGTTGGATCGCGGCATCACTCGCCCCGCCGCCGCTGGCGAGGCCCTCCTGCTACGTGTCTCGCATTGAGAAGCATGCGAGCTGTCACCGAGCCGATCGTCCGCGACATCACGCACATGCAACACCCACCGCAGCCTCGTGTTGGCTTGAACGGGGCCGCTTTGCCACAGGTGGTCTGCTCCGTACAGGGAAGCAGCGCACTCGGTACAACTTGTGCTCCTTTGATCGATGGCGCCGCCACAGGCGCTGCTGCTGAAGCTGGACACACCACGTATCACCCCAAATCCGTTGTACAAACGCCCCGTGCTCACCTTGGCCCCATCGGCGTCACCAGCGGTTGCATCGGGCTCCGCAGGGTCACTGTCTACGCGATTCCACCCCGCGCCCGGCAAAGCTGTTCACACTGCGCGGCCGACTCTACCTGCTCGACGGCGCGTTCTTGGACAGCATCACCTGCGAAGTCTTAGCACAGCCAAAGCTGCAGCCGAGTCTTTCGCCCAGCGTCTTCGAGACGCCGCAGAAGCTGACGTCGTCAGTTGATGAGTGGAGCTCTATCAAGGCATGCAAACCTCGAGAAGTCGCACCCAAAAACATTGAAGCGCTGATAATTATCAGTTGGCACAATCAGCCAACCCAACACGGAACGACATTAGACCTTGTCTACGTCCGGAGCACGAGTGCACTGTCTCGCGGCTGGCTGCAAAGATCGGCGCTCCACTGAGAACTACCGACTACCACCGGTAGTGGCGCTTGGTACCTGGCGACAAACTAGTAGGCACGAGCTTGCAAGCGTCCGTTCTAATCCCGCTCTCAAGGCTCGGGGCGCGAATGGTGACGTGCACTTAGCCGTTCTGCCTAGATTTCCCCAAGCCGAACACGCCAATGCCTGATAGGCCCTGTCCGGTCGGTCAACGTCGATGCAACGCGGGTTGTCGGCAGCAGGTCATCGTTGTCCCTTGGCACTCTCCTTGGACGCGTGTGGCGTTCCCGACATTGCAGGCGCTGACTAGGGAGGCCACTCCCAAGGCGGCGATGGAGCCTGGAAATGAGATGCGAAATGAAATCGACAACTGAGCAGGGGCTGTGTTACAAGGGGTGAGGCAACCCTTCGTCAAGTCGAGTCTCCCATAATCTCCTGCGGACGTCACATGGCCAGGAGTAGCATCCAGAATTGATGCCGGAGAGGCGATCCCACGCCGTATCGCGACTAGAATGCGAGACCGTCTGCATACCATCGAACCTGGCTGGTACTATCAGAGGGGAAACGCGTGCCTTGGGCACCGCGCGAAGAGCTTTCCCAATACCGCGGGTCTCAACAAGAAGTTTTCGCGGCTCTGCTGTCTCTTGGCAAGGCGCAGCCAGATGGTTGTACTCATATGGAGCACTGCGTGCCCCAAGAGCGCGCGGGTCCCGGTACGATCGCCAGCCTGCAGGTGCATGTGCATAAGCAAGATGTGACGCAGCTGCAGGTGGGTTTGAGATTGGTCTGAGGGCCCGTAGAGCAAACACTGCTGGAAAGGTTTTTGCTTTCTAAAGCAAATTGACGGGGGCGATAACTACACTACCCAGACGGCACCTCTCGGACGAATCAACATAGCGCTGATCTGGTTGTCTCCCTGCCGCCATTGCCCCCCCTGGCGAGGGTTACTACAACGCTGGCGAGATGCGGTACGAATTCCGACGGCGCAATGCCACGAGCGGAGCAGCACTTGGGCCAACGACAAGGCATGCATGCTTGGCGGGCTGGGTTTTGCGCCCTGGACGTCGGCTTGCGGATTGGCGCGAAGGAGTTTGCTTATGATGACGATGGCGGTAGGCGGCGGCTGGAACAACGGGTGACTTCCCCGGAGCGAGGGATGTGGCAGAGCAAAGATGTCTCTGATCGGTGGTCCTCCGTATCAAGTACAGACTTGACGACTGTCGACCTGCCGCGTGCGACCTGCCGCATGGCGTGCATTGCATCTGCGGCTAAACGTCCACTACTGCCGGGTTCATGCGTGCGCCGCCGAGTCGCCCTGCGACGAGCTGAACAAAGGTTCGACAAAGAGGCCCGGAACCGCGGTCAAGGTGACATGGACTGAGGGCGACGGGCCTCGGATGCGAGCAGCGCTGGACAACACTTGCGACAGCAGGTCGAGACAAGACGTTGACACCATCCTCCAGCACCGTATGTGCGTGGTGAGGGACGGCCAACGGTGGCGATGTCTCGCATCCTTTGGTCTGGCTGCCTGACCGGTGCCCGACACTTTTCCACGTTGCCCTGCCGCGTGCGTTACGTGCCAGAGTTGTGCGGTGAGCATGGCGGGACGAGTCATGGTCGCTCTTCGACGTTCCTCGTCGTCTTCGCGTCTCGTTGCGTGGGCCCTTGACCCGCGGCAGCTCACCAGTCAGTCAGTCAGTCAGTCAACCAGACGCCAGGGCCAGCCTGCGACAACGCTGGGTGCCAGATGATCAGTCAACGGCGACAGCTCCCCTAAGGCGTCACTGCCTGGCGGTGGACGCATGGCTAGCCAGTGTTGGTCCGCATGCCAGGTGAGCCACGTGGAGTGGCGACGGTTGCCGCGCATTGTTTGCACAGACGTCATTCCTGCCGATGATCGGTGCCGCGCTCAATCTTCAGCAGCGGTGCGAGAGATTGGTTTGTCCCCAGGATGTCTGCTGTGTGCACATTGCAGTGTGCGCTGGCACGAGGATGAGACGAACTGCTGCAGCGCATTCGAGCATTGTCCTCGACCGTTTATTTAGCCGGAGAACCGTCCGACTTCGCTTTTAAGTTGATTGGCTTTGGGACGTCGCCCCGTTATTATCACGTCGCCGTTCGCAAGGGGCCCCCACACATCACCGATTCACCACCAGCATGGAGGTCGAGGGGTCATCTCCCCCCCACCACCACCGCATGCCCCTCATGAGGTCTTCTGTGCAAATGCATGTTCGTTGTTGACATTTCGAACGCAGCGAACAATACTCGGCGCAAAGCGTAAAGTGCAAGCCAAGACTCTTCGGTAACAACAGCCAACAGCCACACATCAAGATGGGGGCCCTTGACCAATGGACCGTTGATGAGCCCTGGCTCGACCTCCACTGCGCCCTGGGCGAGGGGCCTTTCTTCGAGGCCGAGACGAAGACGGTTCGGTTCGTCGACATCAAGAAGAAGCGGATCCATACAGTATCTCTGTCAGAGGGTATGCATTCGCTCAAAACGATCCAGCTGGATATCTGCCCAACCGTCACGGCGGACATTGAGGGCGTCGACCCCCGCGACAAGATCCTGCTCGGGGTCAAGTACGGCGTCGCAGTGCTGGATCGCAAGACGGGTCAATATGAGCTGATTTCGCGCTTCTATGATCCCAACAATGAGCGGTTGAGGAGCAATGACGGTGCGGCTGATCCTCAAGGGCGGTTTTGGCTTGGGAGCATGACGGACTTTGGCTTGGGAGAGTTTCAGTCCGAAGGTGAGCCGCTTTCCCCCTTGATTCTGTGGTTGATGCGGTGGCATGACGTAGCACGCTTGGGCTCACACGGCGGCACAGGCGCGCTTCATTGCTTTACCAGTGCTGGCGGGCACGACAAGCTCGTCGCCGACCTCACCATTCCCAATTCTGTAGGCTGGGCACCCGATACCCGGACAATGTACTTCACACACTCCAAATCGCGCGAGATATTTGCCTGGGACTACGACGCGTCGGCCGGAGGTGTTCTGTCTGGGAAGCGATTGTTCTACCGACACCCCACATCCGGCGAACCCGACGGCTTCCGAGTAGACAAGGACGGGAATCTCTGGAGCGCTGTCTACGGCGAGGGTCGCGTCATCAAGATCAACCCGCACGGTGAGGTGGTGGGCGAGGTGAGGCTGCCGACAAGGAACATTACCTGCGTCCAGTTCGCAGGTACCGAGCTGGTCATCACGTCGGCGGCGGACGAGGCGGCGGACGCAGCACCCCGAAGCAGAAGTCTCGGTGGGGCAGTATTCAGGGTCGACGTCGGGACAACAGGTCTGGATTTGTTCAAATTTGCCATGTGAGGGAGGCGGAAACGGGGACGGCATCGTAAGCGCATGCAACAACGGAGCCGTCGTGCGCCGCCCGCGAGTACCGCACGATCCGAAGTCGGTGGCGCCTGCGGGCATGTCATGAAACTCACTTTCATGTCGTCTCAACACCCCAGGGCCGACTGCTCGAGCCCTTGAAGATCGTCACAGTCGTGGACGTTGCTTCTACGAACAAGGCAGTGCCAGGGTCGACCAACGGCCACGGAACACGAGACACTGGATATCCACACTGGAACGCTGGTCTAGAAGGTCGTGAGTTTCTTCTGGCTCGGCCCTGTCTCACACGGCCGGGGACATGAAGCCTGTGAGAGAGCATAAACAAGCGCCAGCCTCGGGCAACGTTCTTACCGTAGGCCAAGGACACTGTCGTCATGGAGCAAGATAAAAGACTGGGCCACCAGCTTTCTCACCGTCGGTGACGCAGCGGTTGTTCACCAAAAGTAGGCCGAACAGAAGAACCCCGGCCCCCTGCCGTGACCTGCGCCCCCTGCTTCACTCGCGCGTGCACGTCCCGTCACTGCAGCCGTCAACATGCAACGCACGTCCATGTGGAACAGAGGAAACAGGCTGTCCCCGGCAGCGTCTCCGCCCGGGGAAACGCCTCGCACACGCCGCAGGGATGAATTGAGGTCGAAGTCGCAGGCGGCAACCCCCGTCCGGAGGCCACCCGCACCAGCCACCCCGGCTCGGCTTGACCCATGCATGATCCATCAACCCACGGCAACGGTTCATGCGGCGACACCAGCGGCTGCCTTCACCGCCGCCTCACCGCCGCCGCCCAAACAATAGAAGGTGCCCGGCTTCCTGGCCTTTCCATGGTCAAGATTGTTGTCCTTGGGGCCTGCTTGCCAATCGGGATACAGCAAGGCTAGGCAACCCAGGAAGACTTGCAAACGCTGTTGACGCCGAAGTCTTGGTAAAGCAATGGCCGAAATAGTGACCCGAGGACTCGACGCAACGATGCGAAGCAACATGGACATGATGGCATGGGAGGGTCCCGGAGCACGTCTCCATGCGAGGCACTAGGAATGCACGGAACGTGCATCCGCGGGGCAGCTTAAGACCGCCTGCGTGACAATGCCTGCCCCATGGTGCGAAGATATGCATGGGCTTGGGCCGGAGCATGGGCATTGGCATGGGCCCAAGCAGGTGGGTAGACAGGCCTTGGTAGGAACTTGGGATGCAAGCGACATCCGGCGAGCGACATGTCGTCTGGTTCACTGGCGTCGGCGTGGAGGAAGCTCAAGCTTCCGGTAGATCAGGGTCAGGGTCAGGCTTCACCGCTCCGCCACCGCCAACACCGCCACCTCGCGAACCTTGCCTGCATCGGGGCTCGACATCGACGTCGTCGACATCATCCTTCCCGCGGCAAGGCTCGGGAGTTGCACCCAGAATGCAGGGCATAGCCGTACGAAGTTCATGGTCGCAGTACTCTACGCGTGATCAAGGAGCCTAGTGGCCTGGAAGGCTCCATCCATCTGATATCGCTGACGATGCTGGCGAGCCTCTGGACACGTCTCCGTTGGCAGTGTCAAGCAGCGATGAGACCACCGAACCATGAGCTGCATATATGCACCCATTGCTCAACACTCTACGAAGTACATAATACGTGTGTTCGACCTGGAAGCCTAGCGTCGCGAACCATGCGTCCTGGAAGCGAGCCGCTGTCGCCGTGAGAGCTTCGTCAGACACGGGCACCACCTCTCTCTCCCCGCGACAAGACCAGGAACAAAAGAGTTGACCGGCTCGTTCTCCTCGTCGTGCAGGCACCGTGGCCGCAGCCCGAGTTGAACGTTGGCACGGGCACTCATGGCTCGGGTCCAAAAAAGGTCATAACTGACTCCCTCCTCGTCCTTTTCTGGTCGCATCGCCCTTCGCGCGCTCGACCGCCTCTCGCGACTGCCAACTAATACATGTTACTGTTCTGTATCAGCCGCCCGGCCTACCTCGCGCAGGATCGTCTGCAAAGAACTTGACGGACCCTGCTTCTCCTCTCGGGGACAGGCCTTCGGTTAGCCTGCCGAATACCACGAGCCGTCACCAGGTTTCCAGGCCTGTTGCTCGCGAAGAGGGGGTTGCCGGTCTTGGCGGTGAGTAAGGCCGAGGGCGGCGCATCACGAAGCAAGCGGGCTCGCACACACGCGTACGAAGGCACTCCGGTAGGTGGGGAGGCCTCATCAACCCAGCTCCGCCAGGCGATGAGGTCTCGGGAGGGTCATCGCGTCCACAGCAGCCTCATCGAGCGCGTCCGCTATCCGGTCCGGCCGTGGCCTCAGGGCTTGGCGAGAAGACGGGCAGGAGAAAGCTGAAATACGAAAAGGAAATGCAACGGGGGTTGGGCGAGCCCAGGGGCTTTCTACGGGTCGGCCAGTCAGTTCTGGGGTGCGTTGCGTTGCGCCCCGGCACCCTCCCGCATCCCGGGGCCCTGCTCCGTGTGCGCCTGCGCAGCCGCGCTCAGGTCGCGATTCCGGCGCGCTGGGACGCCAACGTCGGGCGTGTGCCGGTCCCGAGAATATCTGATCCCGGGCCAGCTCGGACCCGAGTGAAGCGCGTCGAGACGCGACGACGCCCCGGGCTGGGGGCCGCCGCGGCCGCGGTGCATCGCGGCGTTGGCAGCTATGCGTGTTGGGACACCCAGGGCCAGGGCAGTAGAGTTATCTCGCCGGGGAGTCACTGGGGAGCCATGGTTGGATCAAGCCCTGGATGGGCTGCCAATGCCATGAGCTCGAACAGATCCAACATTCCGCCTCCCCACCGCGGTACGATTCCATTGCCACTGCCTGTCTTGCGGCCCGTATCCCAACACCTGGCTCCCGGGCCCACCAATTGGCTACACAAGCGCATGTGGCGTCACCGTAGGAAGCGTAGGAAACAGTTGGTAGCAGCATCCTTCGCAGGTGTCTATTCTGTAGACTTGGTAAGCTGAGCTGAGCTCCAAATCCTCAGCTCGATATCTCTCTGTATCCCATGTCGAGCTTCCCAAAGGAGTAGCCATCACGACTCAGGGAGCCGGCTCGCGTCACCCCCAGCTCCTCGTACTCTGTTGTAGTCTCTTCGCCAATGACACTGAACAGGCCTCAGGTTTTGGGTCCTGCCCGACCAGCCGCCGTCTCGCGGTCCTTCAAGTCCGTGTTGATCACCAGGTCGTCCCTGTAGCGCATGTGAACCACAATAGTGAGGCCTTCAATGCCCACCTCGTCGGCCGACCTCATTTCCGTAGCATCTGCGGTGTCCTCTTTGTTCCTGGCCGTGAATTCCCCTCCTTCAGCCTGGTCCTGCTCCAGATCATACGAAATCACCTCGTTCTTCCACTTTTCCAGCTCCGTGTTGAGGTCCATGTATCTGTCCCTCCAAGCGCAGTTGTGGCTGTCATTCTTGGCCATGTCCGGCGCCTCTGGATCACCAAAAGCTCCCTCCCCTTCTCTTGCCTCGTCTTCCAGCTCTTCGGCTCGTTTCATGGCCAGGTCTTGTTCAACCTGACGGACTCGCACCCGCGTCGGCGTTACGGGTTCGTTGGGCAATTCGTCCCTAACCTGCTCATGAGTCTGGAGCGTGTTTACATGACTGCATGTTGTCGTCAACCTGCCAAATCCTGGAGGTGACGATGCCGTGCTTGGATCGCAGAATGAGCAAACATTGGCCCGACCCCTCGGAGTGAACGGGGTCTTCTGACTTGGGGCCAAGTTTCGCCGCCATTCGGAGGCAGGGGTTGCAGGGGTTGCGGCGACAGCTTCTATGGCTTCATTCCGTGACTCTGGTCTTCTAAGAGATTGTCGCCAATTCGCTGGTGAGGGAGCCAAACCGGTCTTGCGTGGGTTCTCCGTAGGACTGGCTACCTTTCGCAGCGTACTGCGGCTCCATGGAACTGGATCCGGGGTGCGAGGGCGTGAGTCCGTCTCGGAAAGTTCGACTCTCCTCAGGAGTGGCCAAGGCTCTGGCTCCGGATCCTTTGTTTGCGACGGTTGGCATAGCGTGGTTCCACGACGATGCCGAAGGCCACCCATCAAGCTCGGAATTTCTTGCCCAGCAGAGCCACCAGGCGGCGAACGGAGGTCGGGTGTCGCGGTCGCCCCAGAATCAGAACTTGCCCTCTCATTACGGTCCCGATCACTGTCCCTCTCTGTCTGTCTTGTGAATCCTTCTTCAGGCTTTGCGCATTCCCCGAGCAAGGGTAAGTTGGCCGGCATGCGCTTATCAGTGCTTGACCTCTTCTCTGCACTATGCTTGAAGCACTGTCCTTGCTTTGGTCCCGAGCTGCAAGAACTTGTTATTGGTCCATGAGACAGAACAAGGTTTCCTCTTTCTTGGCTGCTGTCATGATGGCGAGTGTCGAACCCATAGGCGTCCTGGCTAGGCTGGGGAGAACTTGGAGATGCAAAGACATCGTCCATCTCGGGGCGATGGAGTCGTAGAGGCGAGCTCTCAGTGGCCTTGCTATCGGCGTCCAAATCGTGACAACTCACCGAGCTAGCCACGGGTGTTTTTGGGTCCTCGTCGAGTGCGTGTGCGCGGAATCGGCCCGCGGCCATGGTGCCCCTTGACGGAGAACTTGCCATAGAGATGCTCGTGAACTCCTGGGCAGCGCCAGAGTCTCTGTCTAGACTCTCCAGTGCACTAGCAAGGTGTTTGATCGCATTTCGAGATGACTGAAGCTCCTCGGCATGCTGGTAGAGCTGATCGATCTTTCGATGCAGGATGTTTTGAAGAGAGCCATCTTCGTCCTCACTGCAACAGTCGTTGGTTGGCAGTTTGTTGAGCCCTCGACGTGCAGTGCAGCATATAGGATGATGTTGATCAAAGGCACCAGCTTCCTCACGGCGGCTGTCCAAGGCTAGGAACTCGTAATCCTCAGAGTCTGTGGATGATCGGTCCATAAGCCGTCGGGGGACGCAGTCCGACAACCGGCGTGGCTTGCTGGCGCGTGCATTGCACGGGGCTGCTTGAGGAGGTATCGCCTTTCCCTTCCCAATTGCACTTCCTTTGGTAAAGAGACTACTTCTGAGCGCGCGCCTGCGCTCTCCACCTCCGCTTCTCCCCGCGGAAGTCGTGTCGCCTACATCCGCTGCCTGAATCGACGGACCAGGCTGTTCGGGCGCGTTGTTGCCCGCGCCTACTGGGGACGTAGCCATCCTGCATTGAGACGTTACGTCTGAGCCAGTAGAATTTGAAGAACGTCTCTGGCGGTTCTTGTTCCAGTCAGAGGAATTGCCGTCTGCTGTCCGTTGAGAACCGTCCAGAGAAAAACAGCTGGGGTGGTGGCTGCTATGTGTCGGTTGACCTCGTTCACAAGCCGGCCGCATCGACGATGTCCCGGTTTCTGGTACTTCAGCAGCGCACTTGGAACAAAAGTCATGGCCACATCTCGAGCATTGAGCGCCGGGCTGCAAGCTGTCACCGCAAGAGTGACATATCTGCAGCTTTTTGGTGCGGGACCCAGGCCGGAATCCGCCCTTGGACAGCCAACCCTCTGGTCGCGACACTCCGTAGAGATCAAACATTGCCAAGGCATCCTGTCGTCGCCCAATCGAGCCTGGAGAGGCTGCTTCGTTTCTCGAACTCTCGGCTTGAGTTGGGCAGTGGTTGCCGGTAGAAAGGTCCGGCGAAATTCGGCCTGTTCTGTGGGTGGCGTTGCTTGTGTTGGGATGCTTGGGCCCGTCCGACCCGCCGAGTGGCATGGCGCCAAATACTTGTGGAAGATCCATCAGAAAGGATTCTCGGGCAGCGCCTTGGCTTTCGCTCCCTGCTGTCATACACAACTGCTGGCCGGGAAAGGAGTGCCCGACGGTGAGAGCTGTTGTCTCTGGGGGCAACACGGTCCGCGACACCGGACTGCCAAAGCGCGCCCCTGCTCGACGTCCCTACCCGAGCCGTGCATCTTCGCGGCCCCTCGCGGTCGAGTGACCATTTGCAATAGATGTTAGCTGACGAATTCGCGCGCCGACGAGCCCGGATGGCGCCGACTTGGGAGTTCGAAGGCCCGGGCCACGTAGCAATGAATTGCCTCTGTCAAGGGGCCTGGGGCTACTCGTAAAACAATCTGCCATCGTATGAGTCTGAATCGATGAGAATTATGCTCTCAGATAGTGATGTGGTGGATCAGCTGTGGCTCGTAAGAAATGCCGATGGATTCGGTTGACCAACATTGGCACCGGGAGTGTACATTATGAGGAAGAGTTCTAGGAGACGATGCGGAAGCAGAAGATTACCAGATTGGTGGGAAGTTCACACCCAGACACGCGAGCCCCTGGGAAAGCGTCTTGTCTGGGCCTGCTGTCTTGGGGAACAGGGGGTCCACCTCCGGCACCCGAGTGCCGACCACGGGTTTGGTGGCAAGTACACGTAGAGGAAGCACCAACAAGTGGTATCAATTGACTCGATGGGTGCTAAGATGCGGTAGAATATTTTGATGTACAAAGGGGCTCCGACAGTCTAGCAAACACAGTCTATTTCACATGAGCAGCCAGGGTCTCGAGAACCTGCGTCACGGGTTAGTTTCGCCATATGCGCGGCTTGAGATATCGCGGTAAAGCTCACCTCCAGCTCGATCTTGGCCTCGGCGATGTCCTGCTCGCTTCCGTTGCCGTTGGCAACCTTCTGGGCCTCGGCGATCTGGGATCGGATGGCGTCGGCGCTGAAGTCCTCGAGGGGGTAGCCCTCGACGGCGTTGATGCTCATGGCGGAGCCGGGCTGAACGGTCGCGAATCCACCAGACACTACAATTCGACTTGTCAGCTGCGCTGCTGCTTCGAGGGCAACGACAATATCCCCTTCGGGCGACCGGGAGGGGAACGCACGGAAGAACTGCTTGGAGCCGCCGCTCTCCTCGACGACCTCGACGACGCCGGGCTTGAGCTGCTCGATCGCGGGAACGTGGTTGGCGAGGACACCCATCTCACCGGTCTCGGCGGGGATGTTGACCTGGACGACGTCCTGGGACTTGTAGATGGACTGTATTCGGCGATGCGGTAATTAGCTCGGCTCGGGCGCTGCGCTGCGCGACGGGCGTCGGGCGGTGGCCCAATTGCATCTCGGGGTCGTCGTCAATCGCCCGTCGCGGGAGTGCTTCCATACCTGGTGAGGCAGAGACATGCTCAGCTTGATCTGCGGGGAGAAGGTCAGTCAACGTCGTCGTCGCGAGCGGCTCCCGCGGTAGTAGCCGAGGGGGGTGGAGCGCATTGGAGGTTCTCGTACCTTGTCGGGGACAGCCTCGGCGTACGTCCTCCGCTGGGCAACAGCCCGCATGGCAGCAGGGCGAGCGCGGATGGCCGCGCGGGCGATGCGGAGGGAGTTCATGGCGAATTGAGGAGGGGGGGTGGTTGAGTCGATTGCTTGACGTGAAGCTCAAACGAGGGCGTTGGCACGAATCTTCTCCAGACGCCAGGCGACGATTCGGCTAGCGGGAAAATCCGGCCGAGGAGTCACCTGCGTGGTCACGTGGGCTGCTCGATGGAATCGTGGCTGGTGTTACCTACCCTATACCTTGGCCAACCTTAGCAAACTCCAACTTGCAATCCGGACCAAAAGCAACTATAGCCCGTTGTACTCAGGTTTGAGATGCTACGTTGGTCAAGGTCAGTCATCTAAACAATCACTCAGGCTCGGGTCAAGTGCCGATGGGTGCCTTCGTCTCCCCTCTCTACCCTTCCGCAGGCCAGGACGAAGGGAGGAGGCAAGCAGCCGAACATCCGAAATCATGCACACTTGGACCTCACCGCAAGACGCCTCCTACGAAGCTGGCGTCACGGAAGCCTGTAAATGCAAGGCAAAGTGGCCATCCATCCATCTTCTCCATGCCCGGCATGCCAATTCACCATCCGTGGGCTGGCAATGCCCCTTTTCAGTGCCGAGAGCTTGATGCACGTGTTCTTGCCACCACAACCCCTCACAGGGCAAGCAAAGGCCGGCCGCCCGACTCAGCGAATCCTCCGTCCCGTTGAGGGGATCTGCTACGATGCCGTAAGAGGCATCGCTGCTTGGCCACCCACGCTGCTAGTGCCCGACTTTCGCAGCGGCAAGACGGGAGAGGGGGGGATCAGCAATGCCTCTGGCGCGGGCGTCGTCGTCGTCTCCCTAGGACGTGGTTTTGAACTGGTTCCAGGATGATGCACTTCGAAGGGCCCTATCATCTGAGCTGCCCTACTCCCACGGGTTCCACCACTTCGCCATGATCTGCGACTGCGCGCGGCTCCATGTCATATTGCGCGGTGCCCACTGGGCGGCTCCATATGCTGCTGGCTGACATGACCAAAATGGCGGTGATGCGACGACGCCGGCGTTGCGTGGACCGTCTCTTGCCGGAGGTCGCTCCGGTCGTCGCTTGCGTGTAAGCCGGTGCCCTGGTGGCTGCTGGCTTGGGTTGGGCGGCCACACACAAACTGCCACAACGGGAGCGTCGCAACGCGGGCAAATACAACAGAGTACGACGAGGCAGCGTTGCAGTCGACCCGCCGACCGTCCGAGTCGCCCGTGTCACGGCATGAGCCTAGATTCGTCCCTTTCGGGGCCACTCGCCGCGGAGTATCCCAACTTTACTCTGCGGTGGAACGTGACGGTCCCTCATTCAGCATTCTGGCGCATATGACGGCCCCTGCCACAGTGTCATGGCCTTGGCGAACAATCACGGCCAGGCCGCCGCCACGGCGCGAAGAAGGGTGGTGACGACGATGATGCCGAACCACGGACCCGGTTCGGGTTGCTGCCCCTGCGCCCTGTGCTGCCCCTGCGCCCTGTGCTGCCCTGCCCTGCCTTGCCTGATGGTCATTTGTGCTACCCACACAGTGAAAGACTGTACATCCCGTCGTATGGAGTACGCACGTAAAGGCGTGAAGGCGTCCATACAGCCATCTGTAATTAGTTTCATGCCCGTCCCGAGTCTCATCTGTTGTGGTGGCGGGCCGCCAGGCGAGCCATTGACTTTTTTTTGGTGGATGCCGGGCAAGGGGCGAGGGGTAATGGCGAGCGGGCCGCCCGCCGCCGCCCACTAGAATAGTACTAGGTAAGGTACTCGTGGATGGCCCCGGGCCCTTGCAAGCCTTGGTAGTTAGCGCTGGTGAGAACAAACCCATCAGTCGCCAGCGCGCGAGAAGCCTCTGATTTCCAAGCAAAAGTTTTTTTTTTTTTGTTGGTGCTCGAAAATTTCCCGCCGCGACGAGCCGTGAACCCGTGTCGCTTCCAGAAGGGCGGGCGGCTCTCATCGGTGCCTTACTCGCTTATAGGCTCGAACAAGCCGGCGGTGAAGTAAAACAGTGCTCGTGCCTTGCCTTGGGAGAACATTCCAACCCCGGTTCGGACCAGCTCTCGCCTGCATACCCAGGTGCTGCAGAACAGACGGAACGGCGAGCAAGGACCCTGCGCTGTTGATCGGAGGCAGCCGCAGCGGCCTGGCCTGCAAGCGAGACAGACGGGAGGACCCCTGATGGTCCGTGCCCATGGTGCTTCCCCCGCCGCGAGTCGCTGCACTGGTCAATCCGTCCGGTCGCCCATGTTTCATCGCACAGCATCTGGGTCCCGTCCCGTGCCCAACAAGCGCATCGAGAAACCAAGCAACTGCACAACAACAACAACAATAACTGCCACACGGGGCGCGTGCTCCGAGTTGAGTTTATTTTCTGCGCGTGGCTGGAACCTTGCGCCGAGGTGACGTCGTCAGTCCAGTTCGTCTCATCACCGCCGGTGACGACGACCGCGATCCCGCCGACGGGCTGCCGGCGACGTCGCAGCACCACCTCGCACGCATCGCATCCGTGGCATTGGCACTGGCATTGGCATTGTGCCCCGGCGTCCCCGCTCTCGTCGCGAGACTGCAACTGCTCGCTCGTACGTCTTGCAAGTTGTCTCGTGATGCAGCACAGCACTGCACTGTACCCGTATAGGAGCTCCGTACTTCGTACTTCGCAAACCGTGCGGTAATGTAAAGCAACAATGAAGCCCGCATCAAAGAGGCAGCCCTCGTGCAATACCATCATCGTAAGAGACTCCACAGTCCGCGTGTGGCTCCAATCTCACCGCCGAATTGATGAATGCGCTACGTGCCCATCCATCCTCTGCGCGTGCAAGTGCTGCCTTGGGCTTAGGAACCCATATGGCTCTGCTGTGCTCGTTTCTCCGTGTGGGTGCTAAGAATAAGCCCGCCATGAAACGTACCCGCCCGCACGGGGTGAGGCGCCGCTTGGACGCGTTCGGTATGCCGGCGCGGGCTCGTGGGAGGCCCAACGCTGCAGCGCGCAGTGCAGCCAGCTTCCTGCGGCTGGCGAGCAAACGATGCTTCCCTTGGCGATTGCGCAGCGGCTTCGGACTTGTCCAGCACGACCACTCGGACGAGACATGGCACTGTGAGGTGCCTCCTCATGCATCTAAGTCCCCCCTGCGAGGTGCTCCTCACGACCCGCGCCAAGCCTGCGCCGAGTCCCCGCTCTTGGTGTTGAGCGTCATCACGGGTCCGGCCTGGATGAGGTAGATGGCGCCGCACGGCGCACGGGAGCACGCCGGCATGCACATTTCCTTTACGCGCTGAAGCCGCGACGCAGTCATGCAGCGAGTGTCTGCGCGTGCGGGGTCGCGTCGGCCAGGCGTCCGTTAGTGGCATCCCGAGGCGAGGCGAGACGAGACGATCACGCTCCCACGACACCACCACCGCCCACCGCCTTTGCTGCACCTGCCATGCTGCCGTGCCTCGGCCGTCCGTCATGCCGTCGTCCCGTCTCGCCGGATCCCTGGGCAGGCCGTGACTGCGTCGTCATGATCGCCCATGGGCAACCTGGGGTTGCTGGGCAGATCCCGCGGATCTGCTTCACCACCCAAACGGCACTTGCGGCAGTCCTGGGGAGGAGGCACATTCCAATCTGCTGGCAGGCGGCCATTTGCCAGGAGGCCAAGTGAGGGTGTGCAGACGGGCCATGCAGCAACGTCGTCGACCAGGACTGCAGGTGACCCCCAAGACCCATGCGACGCTGCGAGATGGGCTTCCAGACTGTGCTGGCGCGGCTGATATGGAGGCTGGTCTATGCTCCCGAGAACCCCTCGTTGGATGGAAGCAGCACAAGGGACCAATGCATACTGCAAGGAGCGGATTGGGCCGTGGACAAGCCGGGTAAGCTGCACCATCAGGCAGCTTTCCAGCTCCTCGCATGTTCACGAGAGGCACATCGTCATCCTGCAGATGTTGGGTCCGTGACTGGTGGTGGTGTTGGCGCTCGAGGGTGCATCGGCCGAAGCTCCCATGGCAAAGGAGCCAGCCAGACGATTCCCCCAATTGTCAGTTCAAGACGCCGTGTGTAGGCCGATTGCAGGCCCGGATGGATGGGAAGCATCCCGCCGGCTGACATGTCGTCATACGAGCACTGTACCGTCCAGTACAGCATCGCAACCCCGATAGACTTGCCGAGATGCTTGCAGCTCGTGATTCCCATGCTCAGCTGCGGGAGCTTGTCCGCCAAGGCATCGTATTTGCGCACTCAATTGGCGACGGTGGTTTGCCCGTTTCGATAGGCCGGACGGTGGCTTACCACTCGCGGCATTGCATGGTGCATGCCGCGCGCGAATAGCCTCTCCTCTCTCGCGCGTGCGAGCGAGCCCGCCGCACCTTTCGCTGAGGTTGGTTGAATGCATAGCAGCAAGCCCGCCCGCAGCGGGTCAGATGAGATTGGTCCTTTGTTCCTCGGAAAGCTAACGTTAGTTGCGGGAATCACACGAGAAAGCCATCCCAGCCAGTGAGGCGCCGGCTTCCGGCTGGTTAGATCGCCGCCAGTGGACCGGACCTTTCGTCTCATGCTGGTGCAGCAACCGCGTGTGGAGAAGGGCAGCATTGGCGCAGATGACGACCTCCCGGCTTGAGGATTATCCCTCATACTGTGGCATCATGCGCTATGGAGGACTCGCGGACTAGTTGCACGACGATTCGCGAGCAAAGGTGCTGACGGTCCGGACGGCGTCTGTGTCTCGACGTCTGCTCCAAGCCAACAAGGGGCGGCATGCACCCCAAGCCAGATTGGTGGCGTTAATCTGTAACAGGTTTATTCTAGACGGAACAACGGAGAGACGTACTGTACTGTAAATGTAATTGTACTGTCAACTACGAATACGTGCAGCATCGTGCTAAAATCAGCACAGGATTCTGGATGAGACGTGGAGCAGCGCATCTCGCCTGCAGCAACAAGGCGCCCGCGGGCAATCAGCAGGCAATCAGCAAACTGGCGGTGGAGCGGCCGAGTCAGCGAGCAGCACCGCATTACGTCCTTGTCTGCGGGCGACGCAAGAAGGTTTCCGCCATGGTGGCATTGCTGCGACAGCGCGCACATGGCTGTCGCACAAAGCATCAACGGCGGCGAGCTCATAGGCCGCTAGCAATAAGCTAGTCTCGGATGCCGTGTGCTTTGTCGTCAGCTGCGTGCCAGCGGCAACAACAACCACCCAGATGCCAGCCAAGCCGGCGCAGGTTTGTCTCTGCGAAAGGCGCGGACGGTTGCGAGCAGCACGCGGCGCACACACGGACGACGGGGACAGTGATCGGCTGCCGTGGCTCCTGCAATGTCTTGTGGGCGGGCCTGGCCAAAAGGCCCGTCGTGCGGCCGACCGCGCGCGCCCGGGGGATGGACGGGATGCATGGACGACTGCGACGAATGGATGGCTGGCCGGATGGATGGCAAGGGTGGATGGAGAGACGGACGGACGCAGGGACTGGATCCAGAGCTGGGGAGGGCGAGGGAGCAGCTTGGCGCGGACCTGGCGAGAGGCGAGTCGTGCTGGCTGGTCAGCGGACAGTGTGCCAGCACAGTGTCTCGCTGAGTCGCTGCCTCGGCCGCATTCGGCGCCCGCGCTGCCCGCCCGGGTGCAGCCCGACGCCGCAGACTGACGTCGCACTATGCGCCTTGTCCAGCGGCCGCTGCTCGGCCGGGCTGGCGCGCGCTGCAGCGGGCCAAGGTACTGTGGTCACCGTGTCGCTGCTGCGCCTTCCCACGCGGCCTGCGCACTGTGCAGCCTGGACAACCTCCGCCCCAAAGGTGGCTCCGACTGGCCCCCTGGTGGTGGGCGCTCCACTGGAAAAGATGGAAGCGCAGCAAAATTTCACCACCGGCCAGCCCGCGCTAGCCAGTACCAAATACAGCGCTGTACCGCAGGCCCTGGCCCCCGCGACGCGGCCTGCCGTGGTACTGGGGCCGTACCGCAAGTACCCGGCCAGGGCTGGACCGCCCACTGCCACTCCACCCGACCAGCGCTGTGCCGGCGCCTGTCATGCCGCCGCCGTCTGCGCTCCTACTGCCCTTCTCAGCTAAAAGCCATCAGGCGCAGCCCAGTGACTCCTGTGGCTCCCATTGCTCGCTGCAGCGGCAGGTGGCTCCGAGGGCTCCCACCGTCCGCCTTTTCGTCCCCCACTGTCCCAGTACCTTTCCGTCTTGGCTGGCCCCCCTCGTACTGTAATTGACTGAGGTGATGACCCGGCCAGCGCGAGCGACCGCCTCCGCTTCTGCGCTGCTCGTGGTGCGAAAAAACAGAGGGTGCGCTGTTTTGCCATTTTCCATTTTCGGCCCACCAGCAATATATTCCTCGTCAGGCCAGCCCCGACACCCTCCCTCTCTCCCTCTCACCTCTTCATCCAGCATCCTGCCCGTTGCCGACGCGCTCGTCGCCTCGATCCTTGTGCGCTTTGGACAGTGCTGAGGTCTGCCCGCTGGGCGTCCTGCGTTCCTCCCGTCGTCAAAGGAGCAGCGGCACCACCACCACCGACCGGCCTTCCCTGAACAGCCGCAGCGCAGCGCAGCGCTCCGCTTACACCCGCCCGCCCGCTCGCCCGCGCGCAGCGCAGACTCCCCGGCCGCAGCGCACCTGCTACCCGACCTTAGTAGCGGCTGACCGTGGGAGCGGATTACACATCAACCCCCAAGCGCAGCCAACCACCGCCCACCCCCCAGGCGATTTCCAAGACTGCCTTTCCGAGTGCTTCGCCGCGCCACCGCGAGATCAACGTCATCCGGAATTCGCCAAGCCTCGCTGCCACCACTTCACGTTGCAGAGTCATCTCGGCGTTGCTGTGCTGGACCCTTCCACCCCATTCAACCAACCCGCGTCCCGGCTTTCTCAATCGAGTCACCGCACTGGTCCTTTGTCCTTTGCGTGTCCTGCTTTCAGGGTCCCACATCCACGAGCGGCCGACTTACATCAGACGTCGCCTCCCAGTCCAAAACAAAGCCAACTCTTCAACACAACCAACCTCCCTGGCCCTGCCTTCGGCAGTCGATCATGACGGACCTGCGATTATAGCACGTCGGTCCTCAGGGACACACGGTACACACCACCAAATCTCGCTCTTGAAGAGTAGAGGTCTGCACTGGTCTGTAGGCTTCGTCGGCTCGACGCAACCAAGCACACAACACACAGCATCCTACCAGCATTCGCGCGATCCTTTTGCCTTTGTCTTCGTTGCACAACTCAACCTCGACTCCTGGCGTGTCGCTTAACCCATCGAAACTTATACATGAACGCAATCGAATCCGAATACCTTCAATCAATCACAATGACGCCCTTGCCGACGCCGGGGTCGCAGTACCCTCTCTGGGTGCCCCTCACCACAGAAGAAGCTGAGGACGGCGACGAACCGCCAGAGCTGAAGCTGCGACAGCCCACTTCCCAGCCGTTCCAGAGAACGGCTATTCGCCGGCCGAACTGTGCTCAGTCTTCGCTGCTCACCAAGGCGATCATGGGCCAGTCCGACGACGACCACCATGACTTTCACCCCTCGATACTCGTCGACTCGCAGCGACGGCGGTCCATGGCAAGCAACATCAGTGTGGCGTCCACGGCCGACCTCACGAGCGACACTGGTCTCACCAGCCCTAGTCGCACCAACACACCTAGTCCGCCCATTCCTGAGATGGCTGCATTGCGCCTCCATGCTCCTCAGATCTCAGACAAGAGCGGGACAACGTCAGGCGTCAGCGAGCACGAGGCTCCCAAAGAAGCTCCCCGCAAGCGCTGCATCCAATTTGCTTGCGCAGCGAAGCCCATTATCCAGGAGCCGACGAACGCGCGACCGACTCCCATGGTCAAGACACCATCAGCCCAGGAGGCGCCACGACGACCCTGCATCAAGTTTGCCGCGCCGGCTCGTCCTGCCTCGACGCAGAACACGCCGCCGACGCGGATGGGCCAGTCTCCCGCTAAGCTCGCGCCTGTCAGCAACCCCGAATCGCCGTCGACCCCTAAGAAGTCTTCTGTTTTGTCATCCGCCGTCAACACCTCTCCTCGATCTGCCTCTTCTGCGAAGCCACCAAATCGACCACTGCTTGCACGGCCAAAGTACCTGCGAGCCAACTCCAAGGACCTGGCACAGGACGCCTCGCAGTTTCACGAATTCGCCAGCGGTCTCTCTCGTGAGGAGGACTGGATCAGGCAGGCTAACCCAGTCCTTCTGACCAAGCTCACCATCAACGATACCCTCATCAAGGAGAACAACATCCGTCGCCTCGGAGCCGAGGCGGAGGAGGAGGCTGAACTCGAGGAGGAGGAGGAAGAGGCCGTACTGGACGAGGACGACGATGATCTCGATGGTGACGATGACAATGATGAAAACGACGAGGACGAGGACGATCAAGATGATGATGAGGAGGAGGACGAGGAGGAAGATTCTGATGGGTATCACACCGACGAGGAGACGGGCTTCGCCGACTCTGACGATGATGAGGCGGATGATGACGAGAACATGATCCTCTGGACACCAAGCCACGCCTCCACTGCACGACAGCCCGGGAGTTTGGTACCCGCCCGCCGAAACTCTGTCCACGAGCCTCAGTCAGATTCGTCGATTGCCACCAATGGCAGCACGCGCCGCGCTAAACCCAGACGTGTGAAGCCTCAGTCAGACGCCCCAGACCTTCCTGACAGCACCGACTTTGTTTGTGGAACCCTGGACGAGGATCGGCCCCTGGAAGAGGCTTACCTCCTGAGCCTTGCCGCGCGCAGAAACGAAAAGCTCCGTGTCATTCCTCAGGACATCGATCCAAGCTTCCCTGCCTCTGACCCGGACAACGACGACGAGGAGGAGATCTACAACCCTGTCGCCCACGACAGCGATGGGGACGCATGGGTACAGGGTGAGATGGAGGACTTGCATCACGGCCAGGACCGGTCCCGACGGAGGAGAAAGAGCGAGCACGCTTCTCCTCGCAAGTATCGGTCCCCAGCCCCGAAACGCCGTCCTTCGCCGCCGCCGCGGAAGCGAAACCACTCTCCGCCTCCAAAGGCGCGCGCTCGATCACCGAAGCCGTTGTTCGGGCGCCACTCACCCCGGAGAGCCAAGTCGCCAGCCCCCCGAGCCCTCACGACCCCGACCGGATCGCCACGCCAGGGAGCGCATGTGCAATTCCACCTCGCCGGTCGACCCCTGACAACTCACACCAAGTCCCTGCCGCGCCCAGCCGCGCTGTTTCCGCAGATGAGAAAGGATCGGAGCGTCAAGTATTGCCACGATGATGACGTGCACATCCGAGGGGCCATCGACATTGTCAAGGGCCTCGAGCGGAAGCGGCAGCGACGGAAGGAGAAGTTCTACCAAAAGTACTGCAACCGGGCGCGGCGAGGACAGATCCCCGAGCGGAAGCCTCAGCCTGGACGGGGCGCCGAGCGCATGAAGGAGCTTGGTCTGCTCATGGCGGGCAAGAAGGACCAGGGCAACTACGTGCTCTCCGTCTAAGGCGACAGGTGCCCACATCGGGCACTACATCACCGCATTTATGGCGTGCCGCCACATATTCCCCGCCAGCATGGGATGTCAGACGACATTTGGCTATCTGTACATCTGCGGGCGTTAATAACATATCACGACCTCATGACTCGCTTCCGGAATACATATTCGCATCGACGGACAAGGTCATTTTCGGCTTGAAACTCGTGTACATATTTCTTTTCTTTTTCTTTTGTTCATACACCTTGTCGGCATTACGGATACCAGATATCACGCATTCGCTGTGGGTAGTTGGAGAGGCATCATCAATCGCTTGGATACCCTGCATCGGGCATTTGGGTTTTACAGGCTGGGTTTGGCGTTTAGGAAAGCATCGCGGATGGAGCCGGCACTTTCGGAGTACTAGGTAGCCCATGAGCAGGCAATTGAGAGACGACACTCGTCACGATACTACCGATTCGTGGTCCAAGTGGTTTGGTGTGACGAGCACTTGAAGGCGTAGAAGCTCGGAATGCCTATTGCAGAGTGAAACAGTCTGTGGTCCGCACGCGAAGGCTGGGTACGGAGGACACGTGCACATAATTTCGACGACGTCACGGACGGCTGTGGTGGTGATAGAGATGCGCGCGCGCGGGTGTAGGACAGAATTAGATCAGGGGCGTATTCATGGAAGCCGGCGACATTGCGAGACACGGGTCGAGGTGCAATTCAAGTCGGCCCACGCCACCGGATGGCTGTGGCGTGGTTTGGCCCAGTGGAAAGGTGGTGCCTCGGCGAGGGCGCCCGCTGGCGGAGTGGATGCCTGATGCACAAGGCAGCCAGCGCCGGGCAACCAGCAGCCATCCTTTCTGCCAGGGTGGACAAATTCCATGCTCGCAGAGGCGTTGCGACACTCCTGCCGCCTGCCTTCCCACATCTCGAGCGATAGACGACCGATCCACCACCACCGAGTCCCGCGACATCCAAATCCATTCGATTCGACGTCGACGACACGACTTCAACACAGCCAAGATGTGGATTATCAACTGGTGTATGTTCCTGGCCCTCCCCGTCCGTCCTTTTGCCACCTTTGTTGAAAGGTGGCCGCCAAGGGACGCGGCTGGCTGACACGTGCTGCCGACAGTCTACGATGTCCTCTCATCGCTGGGGCTGCTGAACAAGCACGCCAAGCTCCTGTTCCTCGGACTCGACAATGCCGGAAAGACGACATTGCTGCATATGCTGAAGGTACGACGCCCACGCGGGTGTACGCGCGACGGAGCCGCCGTGGTCGAGGGAGACGACCAGGGGCTTGTCCCGTGTGGATATATGGACGCCATGCTGACGACGAGACGCCCATAGAACGACCGTGTTGCTATCCTGCAGCCTACTCTTCACCCCAGTGAGTGAACTCGAGCGGCAACTGCCTGTGCAAGGCGCTAACAAGATGCTCAGCATCCGAGGAGCTCGCCATTGGCAACGTCCGCTTCACTACCTTTGATCTCGGCGGCCATCAGCAAGGTATGCAGAGCACACTCGTATCCTCGCGCGCAGGCGCGTTTGACAACAGCTAACGCATCGGATCCGCCGCATAGCCCGCCGCATCTGGAGAGACTACTTCCCCGAGGTCAACGGCGTCGTGTTCCTCGTCGACGCCAAGGACCACGAGCGATTCTCCGAGGCCAAGGCCGAGCTCGACGCGCTCCTGTCGATGGAGGAGCTGTCCAAGGTGCCCTTCGTGATCCTGGGCAACAAGATCGACCACCCCGACGCCGTCTCCGAGGACGAGCTGCGACACCAGCTGGGCATGTACCAGACGACGGGCAAGGGCAAGGTGCAGCTGGAGGGCATCCGGCCGATCGAGCTCTTCATGTGCTCCGTCGTCATGAGGCAAGGATACGGCGAGGGCATCCGGTGGCTGTCGCAGTACGTCTAAGGGGGGCGATAAGACGACGTGCGACGAGCGTGGAAGGATGATGGCCGGCCCCTGGGGGCACTAGACGGGACCCGGGCCGCACAAGCATCTCGCATGGCGGCACGGGTAGACGCGGGGGAAGAAAGACAAGAACATGCGTCAAGGTCACGAGCTGCTTATGAGATTCAGCATTCACTTTAGGCGAACCTGGGTCGTGTAATTCCATGATGTTTGAGAGACGGCTCTGCAACCAGCCAGCCATTCGCGCACAGGGCAATCCTTTGGTAGATATGGCCTCGTGCGGCTGCACTTGGATTTCATAGACGGATGGCATCTCTGTGTCTGTTTGTTTGATCATGTTGTTTCTCTCGGATGCCGGCTCGAGCAGCCGTCGTCGTTGGGCTGTAGCTTGCGTCGTGGGGTCGGTGGCATGACCCGGCGGGCCGGACCCCGTCCCTCCCGCGAAGCCGACGGACTCGGGGGAAGAGTGGCGCGCCGGCTCTTCCCGTCTCTGGACTTGTGGACTCGGCGAGATGGTCCGTGTTGTTTGTTCACCACGCAAGGTTATTCGACTTGGAGCGGTGGCAGCTTTGTCATTCTCTGTTATCATGTCTCGTCTCTGGTCGGGGCGTGGCAGCTTTATGATTCCCCTGCTGCCCCGCTGTTCTCTGTTGGACTCGTAGATACGAAGTACATGTGTAGATATATGTCAGGCCCGATCAGCAAGTGAGCCAACAGCGAGAGAAGGTCCTTCATTACAGGCCGTATCCATGGATCGACGCTCCAGCCCTCAGAAGCATGCCTCAGCAAGCTCTACGCCACTCTCGTCGGATAGTCGGGACACGCCGGGTCGCCCTCAGGCAAGTAAGTCGCGTCTCGAGCGAAGCCGACGTACGAGTCCGGGTTTTGCACCGACTCATTTTGCGCCAGATGCACCACGCTCTTTCCATACGCGTAGTCGTGTTCAAACCCACAGAGGTGGGCGAGCTCATGCAGCAGGATGCTCACCTGGTCGTCCGCCCACCTGACGCTCGAGCGATCCGGCTTCCTGAAGAAGAGTGGGCAGAAGCGGATGACCGTCTCGCCCCTGGTGATGAGCGCGAGGGTGCCCGGGTCGCAGTTCTCCTGGTCCGTTCTGTGCTCGCACATGACCTTGGGGAACTCGCCGCACGTCTGCGAGCATATCCTGCCCATCTCGTCGAGCGCGCTCTTGACGTAGTGCCTGGTCTTGAAGTTGGACGACTTGAAGTAGTACCACATGCGGGACTGCCCGCCGCAGCGCGCGGCGGATTTGGCGCGCCGCACGAAGTTGCGGCAGTTGTGCACGGCGGCCATGATGGCCCGCAGGTCCCTCTGCGTGCAGGCCGAGTGGGCGTCCTGGTGGAGGGTCAGGTGCTTGGACGGGAGGCCCTGGTAGTCGTTGACGCCGCGTTTTGTCAGGGACGGGGGGAGCCGCGCTGGCGGCGCGACTATGTCGAGGGTGAGTGCGTTGGACTCAAACGGGACGGTCTGTAGGCCTTCCATGTCCGTCACCGTTGCCCAGAGGGTTCCGGCCGCCTTGACGCCGTAGGTGCCGCTCTGGGACATGTCGTGTGACTCGGCGATGTCGAGAGATGACTTGTAGATGCTGCCGGCGGGAAGCGTCTCGAATGCCGAGTCGTCGAGGTCCGACATTGAAATGTACACGGACATGCCGGTGAATAGAAGCTCCTTTCCTGAACGAGGCTCCGAGTTACTTTGGTGAGGCACGCAGCTTAGGCACTATCTATACGTACCGCCGTAGGAAACCCGGACCTTGCGAAGTGGGCGGCTGTCGAGCAATGACCCCGGCCGAAGGACTCGGACGTCCTGCGGTCCTGTGTTGCGTATGGTGACTGTGAGAATGGTGTTGTTGTTGCGTTCAATCTTGACGTCTAACGATGGACTTGGTGGTTTCGGGGCGGCCTGGGGAGTGGCTGCTGCGAGGCAGGCCAGGGCCAGTATAGTTGGAGGCCACATCTGCATAACGAGAGAGTTAACTGGAGAGGCTTGACATTGACCGAATATACTTCTGTCATCTGACGGAGCAATGTATATACTTATATGGCTGACGCCCCAGATGGGAACTTCTCCATTGCCGACCTCGGTTGTCGTCCACACCTGATAGAAGAGAAGAGGGCTCGCCTGGTGGACAAGTGCTATAGTGATGCAACTACTGGCATGTGGGCGACATGCTCACGCGATATCTAGTCGCGCTGGATGTGTTTTTCCATAGGACCTTTATGCTATAAGTGCGTACTATATAGCGCTGTTTTACGAAGCCTGCGGTTTTTACTGCCGCGCACGTAAGGATGCGACGTATCGGCGGAAGCATGTAGCAATACCGTAACGCCGACGGCCCATCTCTGGCATGTTCGGACGACCTTGTTATCAATAGTTTTCCCAAATATCTTAGCCCCTGAACTCTACGTGTGGCGGGACAGATATTGCAGAGACTTCTATGCAGAACGGGGTCAGCCGCGGATCCAGGTCGACGAGGCAGACATGGCCCCGAACGATGAGTACAATACTCCGGCCGTCTATATAAATAGGGAAAGGGTGCATGCTAGCAGTCAGGGGGAATCAACAGCCTATTACAGAAAGACAACTCGTGGTCTTGGCACAGCGCGAGCGCAGCACTTCCCTCCCCCAACCACGTGAAAACCAGCTGCACCATGTTGTTCCTAGAAACCCTCTTCGTCGCCGCATCTGCCCTCCCGCTCATGGCGGCCGGGGAGACGGGGTGCTGGCGCAACGGCAGAGAGTGCTACTGGTGGGGAGCGGCGACGGAGTGCGGCGACACGGCCTTCTTCCTCGGCGACCTCGACAAGGGGCTTTATCGACTCGTCACCTGGACGCGAGACGCGACCATTGACGAGCTGTGCGCGAACCAGGGCTCGTCTCTAAACCCGGGGCCGAACTGCTGCGATGCGTACGGGCACGGGTGCTGGTCGGGATACAAGCGGCTCTGGTGCAACGCCAGAGGGGTGCGTTGCGTTGCTGCCCTCCCCCTGAGTTGCTTTGTCTGGCAACCTAGCTGCCTTGGGCTCCGGCTGACCGAGAGTATATACATGGACGTATAGGACGCTGCCTGTACGCCGTCACAAGTGATGAGCAAGGTTTCGAGCGCTGCCCCGACGCAGTCGGCATAGGGGAAGGCCGGTGTCGACGGCTCCGTGGGGGCGCCTGATCTACCGTCTAGACCCTGTGCACGGAGAAGGTATGCGCTCGGAGTGCGTAGGGAAGGACTCGGACAGGCGGCTATCGTGGGCCAGGAAACAAACAGAGGCTCTGGTGGATCCTGTTGCGCCGTGCTTCCGGCCCCGCTGCTTCACGACACGCGACGCAGGCAAGATAAAATGAGTGACGAGGAGGCGAGGGCGAGATGTTCATACTGAATCGTCTCAATGAGACGAGCGGCATTAGCTTAGTTGCCTTGGGCAACTACGAAACTAATCCCGAGTTGCTTCGTACCTTGAGTGTGTAGTTCAAATTCAAATGGAGTGCGGCCTGTCATTGAGCGGCACGATTCTTGAGGTTGTTAGTGCCAGTAGCAGCAGAAGCTCAGTTGACGAGCGGGGGTACCTTGCAATTACAGTGGAGGAGCCTCCACGGGCGGCGCCTGATGTGATTTCCCCCAACAAACCCGGCCCCGACGTCATGCCCGCCCGCTCCCGTCGCTGGCGTCGTGGGGCGCGGCCGCCCCCAAAGCCCCCAGCTCCCATCCATGGATCGCAACGTCACTGTCGCTCTCACCACTACTTCGTACACCATCGCCTGCCACACTGCCGTCACGCCGCGTCCATACCTTACCTACCGGCAAGAAAGACGACAGCCCGCAGGCGCAACGACTCTGCCTTGCTTCGCGTACCCAGCGCAACAACCAAAAACCTTCGCCGGAACAACGCCGAACGCCAGGCATGTCTTTCGTGGGCGTGGTCGCCGTACGATAGAGAAGCAGCCTCCCGCGCTGAGACGGACGACGTAGCCACGCTCACGATGCCGGTCGACGACACCGTCTACGGCTTCCCGCCCGAGGCCTTTGATGAGTCTTTCCTGCCCGATGTCCACCGCCAGTTCATCGACCCCGAGGACCTGCACGCCTTCGAGAGGGCGCTGCAGGCTCCCGACCCGCTGCAGAGCCCCCCGGCCGACGATGCGAGCATCAGATCGCCCAAGAGCCCGACTGGGTCCGTCAGCATCACCAAGAGGGACTCGCAGACGGCAATGTCCATGGAGGAGGACCTCTCTGCCATCGCGGCGGCGGCGGCGGCTGCCGGAGGGGACCTGCCTCCCCCAGACACCCCGGCGCAGGGGCACGGCACCTTCATCACCGCGCAAAACGACTGGGCGCCCGTAAACTCGAGGATATACCGCAACAGGAGGAACGGCGCCAAAAAGGGCCGTCGGAAGAAGACGACGAGTGCTGTCGAGGGCCTGCTGGGCACGCGCACCAAGGACGAGACGAGGGAGGGCTACCTCTATCAGCTCTCCAAGTGGCCGCTGCTCTTCTTCGTCCTGGCCTGGCTCCTGTGGCTGAGCGTCGCGTACCTCTCCACGAGGTGGTACATTTGGGTCTACGAACACTTCTTCACCTGGCGCGGCCGACGAGAGACGCTGCGGAGGAACCTGCGCCGCACGACAAACTACAAGGACTGGGTGGCCGAGGCCAGGCAGCTCGACTCGTACCTCGGGCGCCAGGCCTGGAGAGAGGAAAATGACTTTGCCTACTACGACTCCAAAACCGTCAAGCGGGTGTGGGAGCAGATGCGCAAGGTGAGGCTGCGAGCCGAGGCCCAAGAAGGCTCCGGCCCGGCCAACGGCGACAAGGCCAAGGCGGTCGAGGACTTGAAGGCGCTCATCGAGGCCTGCGTCAAGAATAACTTTGTCGGCGTGGAGAACTCGAGACTGTACAGCCAGACGTACTACGGCACCAAGAACCTGGTCCAAAACTTTATCGACGAAGGTAAGCCGCGGTGTCACCTGGCCAACTGACCCGAAGCTGACAGAGGATCATACAGTCGAGAGCAGCATCAAGTTCTTGCTCCGGACGAAATCGCTCGAGACCGAGGAGAAGCGCCTTTTGTTCAAGCACGTGTATGCCAACTACGGGCGGACAGCGCTGTGCTTGTCTGGAGGGGCCGCGTTCGCCTACTACCACATCGGCGTCGTACGCGCGCTGGTGGACGCCGACTTGCTCCCTGACGTTATCACGGGCACGAGCGGCGGCGCCCTCATCGCGGCGCTCGTGGCCACGCGGACCAACGACGAGCTGAAGAAGCTCCTGATCCCGGCGCTGGCGCACCGCATCGACGCGTGCAGCGAGCCCATATCCGTCTGGTTCCCGCGCTGGTGGAAGTCGGGCGCGCGCTTCGACTCTGTGGACTGGGCAAGGCGGGGCGGGTGGTGGACGAGGGGCTCCATGACGTTCCGCGAGGCGTACGAGAGGACGGGCCGCATCCTCAACGTCACATGCGTGCCGGCCGACCCTCACTCGCCGACCATCCTGTGCAACTACTTGACGAGCCCCGACTGCGTCATCTGGTCGGCGGTGCTGGCCTCAGCTGCGGTGCCGGGCATCCTGAACCCCGTGGTGCTCATGATGAAGCAGCGGGACGGGACGCTGGCGCCGTACTCGTTTGGACACAAGTGGAAGGACGGCAGCCTGCGGACGGACATTCCCATCAAGGCGCTCAACACGCACTTCAACGTCAACTTCACCATTGTGAGCCAGGTGAACCCGCACATCAACCTCTTCTTCTTCTCGTCGCGGGGCTCGGTCGGGCACCCGGTGACGCACCGCAAGGGCCGGGGGTGGCGCGGCGGGTACCTCATGTCGGCGACGGAGCACTACCTCAAGCTGGACATGAACAAGTGGCTGAAGTTCATCCGGCACGCGGAGCTGCTGCCGCGGCCGCTGGGCCAGGACTGGAGCCAGCTGTGGCTGCAGGAGTTCAGCGGGACCATCACCATCTGGCCCAAGTCGATCCCGTCCGACTTCTGGCACATCCTGTCGGACCCGGACCCGGAGCGGCTGGCGCGGATGATCCACGAGGGGCAGCAGAGCGCGTTCCCGAAGCTCAAGTTCATCGCGAACCGGCTCAAGGTGGAGCGGCTGGTGGAGCAGGGGCGGCGCGAGACGAGGCCGTGGGTGCGGCGCGGCAGCATCCAGACGCTCATGAGCGAGGAGGACCTGCGGAGCCTGCTGGTGAGGGAGATGGTGGGGAGCGGCACGACGGAGGAGGAGGACAACACGGAGGGGGACGACGAGGGGCTGACGGGGACGCCGCTGGAGGAGATGGACGATCCCGTGTACGGGGGAGGAGGGGGACATGAGAAGCGCGACTGAGGCGCCTAGTTGTGATGCTGTCGTGATGGTGCTGTTAGGTTGGCCTTGGACACCGTGTTAGAGTAGAGTGCATAACTAATGCCTAGACCTGTACATATGCATGGGAAGCCGGTGCAAGACTTGGTGTCTGGAATAGACACGGTGACCCCGAAACTGAGGTTCGGATGGCTGGAGCGAGGCCAATGCGCAGGACCCTGCAAAAGGACGGGATGATTAGCATTTGTGGTTACGGGGTACCTGAGGTTGGGGCAGTCCAAGGTTTGCCGCATGCCCGTACCTTACCTGGCCTGTACGTCAGGCGGGCATCACCTCCCCAGCGTTGGTGCTGTAAATAGCACACAGGGCTACCCGCGCGCCGGCCGACAGGGTGGTGAGGTGGGTAGGTGCCCTGTGGCGCCCTGCCGGGCCCCGGGCTTCCCCTAGGTTCCAAGGAGCCTATGGAAGGAAGGTTGTGCCCTGCCGTCTTAGTGCCGGCGGCTCTTTTTGGTGGAGGACATGTGAACACGGTGGCGGCATTGGGACTTTGTGTGGGGGACCCGCGGATAATCCGATCTCCGACGCCAAGTGGCCTAGACACTCACCACTCGACTTCCCTTCCAGGGTGCTTGTGGACAGTTAGTTTAATCTGCTGGCACTGCTTCTGCCTCGTCGCCGACACTCCTTCACCCAACCGACGACACCCACGCCGCCTCCCCCCCAGTCGAACCCATCCAGGACGGCCGGCAACCACCTGCGACGCCCAGCCGACACGACGGCAGACACGTCCTGCCCACGCGACTCCCCTCCAGAGCTGGCTGAGCCTCGCCGGCCGCCGCCATCATGAGTTCATCAGACTACTCTTACGATGACCAGGTGAGCCTCGCTTCCTCTCCCCTCCTCGCGCCCTCGGCGCCCCTATCCACGTCGCTGACCACCGCCCGCCGCCGCAGGCCCAATTCTTCCCCTTCTTCATCCTGACGCTCACGGGCCTGGTCACGATACCCCTGACGTACAACGTCCTGCAAGCCAGCAAGAGCGACGAGAACATCGCGCCCCGCATCCACACCGACTACAACGTCAAGCATGGCGACGTGGTCGCCGACCTGCGCGCGGCGCAGAAGCGGAAGCAGCGCAAGGTCAAGCGCACCCTTGTCGCCCTCGCCGGCTGGGGCCTCATGGGCTTCATGGCCTACCTGATCATGACGACAGAGCCCACTGTCGCCAAGATCTGGAACCCCTACGACATCTTGGGAATTTCAGAGGTATGTGGCGGCCCTTGCTGCCAGACGAACGGCCCAAGAAGAGCGACCGCATGCTGACCTCGCCCCAACACAGTCCGCCACCGAGAAGCAAATCAAGTCGCACTACAAGCGCCTCTCCGTCAAGTTCCACCCCGACAAGGTCCGCCCCGACGCCTCCAAGAACGAGACGGTCGAGTCCCTCAACGACCACTACGTCGAGCTCACAAAGGCATACCAAGCTCTCACCGACGAGGAGGTGCGCAACAACTACATCCAGTACGGCCACCCCGACGGCAAGCAGAGCTTCAGCATCGGTATTGCCCTGCCCAAGTTCATCATCTCCGACGGCAACGGCAAGTACCTTGTCCTACTCTACACTGGCCTCCTCGGCGTCCTGCTGCCCTACCTGGTCGGGTCCTGGTGGTATGGCACCAAGAAGAGGTCCAAGGAGGGCGTCCTGATGGAGAGCGCAAACAACTTGTTCCGCCAGTACGACGAGTCCATGGATGAGGCCGGCATCATCACCGCTCTGAGCGCCGGCAAGGAGTTCGAGACCGTGCTCAAGGGTGACCAGGCCGACCATGGCCTGTCCAAGATTGAGTCGCGCATCACGGCCGACGGCGAGGCGTCCCTGTTCGCTGCTGGGTTCTCCGTCAAGGACAAGGAGAAGCTTGAAGACCTCGATAGTGGCGTGCGTCGGAAAGCTCTCGCCTTGCTCTGGGCCTACCTTGGACGTGTCGAGCTCGATGACCCTGCCTTGACCAAGGCCAAGTACGACATCGCCCCCATCGCCCGCATGCTCAACCAGTCTTTTGCCACCATCGCCCTCGCCTACGGCAACATTGGCCCCATCGCCGGGTCCTTTTACGCCAACCAGCACATCATCCAGGCCATCTCCCCGAAATCCTCGCCCCTACTTCAACTCCCGTACTTTACGCCCAAGATCGCCATGGCCGTCGAGGGCGACTCCAAGACCCACTTGACCGTGCAGCAATTCATGGACCTGCCCGATGCTCAGCGGAGAAAACTTGCTGTCGGCAAGGGTCTGTTGACGGACAACGAGTATAAGACAGCCGTCAGCGTTGGAAAGCAGCTCCCCTACCTGCGCGTCGCCAAGGCCTTCTTCAAGGTCACGGGCGAGCGCGTCATCATCCCCTCTGCCCTCGTCACCCTGGTCATCAAGGGCCGCTTCGTCCCCCCCGGCACCGAGAAGGTTCCGGCCGTCAACGAGCTGGACCTTGAGGATATCGACGCCGCCGAGGATGACCTGGATGCCCTCATGGGCCGCAAGAGCAAGACCATCAAGGGCCCCGATGGCAAGCCCATCTCCGTCGAGGAGCAGTCCATCCTGCCGCCGCTGACGTTCGCCCCACACTTCGCCCGCGAGCAGACGCCCAAGTGGTACGCTTTCCTGAGCGACTCGAAGCAGGGCAAGATGGCCGTGCCGCCATTCACCTTTGATCGCTTCGACCAGCCCATCTTTGACGAGCAGGGCAAGCCGACGTTCAACATGCAGACGCTCAAGGCTCAGTTCGCTGCACCGCCGCAGCCGGGCCACTACACGTTTGTCATGCACGTCGTCTGCGACTCGTACGTCGGTTTCGACACCAAGATGGAGGTGACGCTGGTGGTGGAGGATGCTGCAAAGGCGGCGGAGATGGAGTGGGAGGACGAGATTAGTGAACCCGAAGAGGGTAAGCCACCCCTTTACCCTTCTCCCAAGGATAATGTTCAAATGCTGACTTTTGCAGACTCAGTCGCCGGACAGATGCACGCGCTCAGGACGGGCGAGGCGCCTCAGCCCAGGCGGCGGAAGGACCAAGAGGAGGAGTCGGACGACGAGAGCGGCACAGAGGAGGAGGAGGACGACACGAGCGACACCAACACGGACACGGAGGACGAGTCATAGTTGTCCCCATGTTGTTTTTTGTGTTTGATGCTTGCTTGATGCCGAGGCCGTTGTTTTTTTGGGAAGCTCCAGAGGTGTGGGCGAAGGCGGCAGGAGAGGAACCCCCTTGTACGAGAGGCATGTGAGATAACTCTAGAGGTGCGGCGTGTTTTTTTGCATGCGGTCGGGTTAAAAAAGGGACAGCGGATGTCGATAGCGCACACGTTGAGCGGGAGGGACTCTCGGCCTGGCGACGTGCGAGGGCGTCCTGCTGGAGCGGAGTTTTATTTTATAACGAAGGCATTACATATATTCCTCTTCCCGTTCTGTCGTCCCCATCTCCCGTTCTAGGACCTGCTACGCTGCGCCGCGGCGCGTGCGACAGGGATGGCGTCAGTGCGACTTGGAGGCCGTCGCTTCGCTACTGCTGCTTGATGTCCTGCCACTCCCCCAAAACGCAAGTGTTTGTGGAGGAGATACAAATGTAGACATGCACACATCATACGCAGGCGCGAAGTGGCTCGGTCTTGTTCTTTGCATTTGCTCGGTCCGCTGTACTAGTTGAAACACGCGCGGTGTCTTTTCGCGTCCAGCCGCTGTCAGTTAGGGGGAGCAGGCCTGAATGCTCCATGGTCGTGCCCCTTGTATGGGCATCCAAAAACCAGAAATGTATACGTACACGCATTGCCGGGCCATGTCTCCGTCTCTTGTCCGTCCCTTTACGTCCCTTCGAGTAGTACTTCGTCGGCCCGACATGATGCGATGCCAACATGAATGATGAGCCTAAAACTCAGTAACGGACCCCTGGATTCGACCACCGAGATTAATATGCTCAGCACACCCGCACGCCGCACACCTCGACACCCTTGCCCTCTATGCGCGCCGCGCGGTCAAAGTACGCGGCCACGATGTCCTGCACGAACTGGGCGTCGCTCGCGCTCCACACGTCGAGCCCCATGTTCTCCACGCACTGGCTGTCGACGGTGATGGCGTCCGCGCCGGCCGGGCCGCCGAGGCCGTTGTTGAGGAGCACCTCCGCCTCGTCCTCGCCCGAGGCGCCGTCTTCGTCGTCGTCGTGGTACCGCGCCGGGTATGCCTCCTCCGCGCTGTCGACGAGGTCGACGAGGACGGAGAGCATCTGCGTGGTGAGGCGGTGGAAGTAGGCGATGATGGCGAGCTCGAGGCGGGCTTCGTCGGCGTCGGCGGCGCGACGTCCGGCAAAGGAGGCGACGGAGTCGGTGAGCGGGTCGGAGCGTGATGATGGCCGGCGCTGCATGGGAGATTGAGGGGCAGGGGCGAGGTCGGCAAGAAGGGAGGCGTCGCGGCTCAGCTCCTCTTGTTCCTCGGCACGCAACTGCTCGCCGGCACTGGCCCACCACATGTAGCCGTTGTAGGCGAGGGCTGCCCAACTCGGGGGCTCGGCCAGCTGATCGACGGCCTCGTCCGGCTCGCTGCTCACCAGCATCCGGTGCGAATGGCTCGTCGACAAGCGCACTGCTGACGTTTCGGACTCGGGCGTGTCCGGAATCAAGGGTCCAGCGGGTGACGAGCCAGCCAGACGCGCCAAGCCATTGCGGAGGGAATTATAGCGGCGCAGATCGCGCTGCGTAGCCTTGATGGGGATGCCGCGCGGACACTCGACAGTCGGCCATGACTTGTCCTTGGCATTGGCCGAGTACTCGGGCGGCATGGTGATGAGCATGTCCCACAGAGTGTCCTTCATGGCGAGGATGCTGTCAGTGGTGCAAGCAATCCAACCGGATCCAGCCTCGCCATCCTCATCGTCTTCACCGTCAGCCCTGCGCTTGGAAGCCTCAAAGTCCTCCATGAGAAAAGGAATGTCGTGAACGCCAATGGCGAAAAGGGGCCGCAGCCGCGGGCTGGGCGCCGAGGCCGGGAGGGAGTCGGAGATGGAGAGAGGGATGTTGGACAGGATAGAGATGTCATAGACTGTAGAGGTTAGCGGAGCCTGATGGGGGAAGGCCGAGGGTGGTTGCTACACACCAAAGTCACATATTTGGTGGACTGGTGCGTGACATGATATTAAGATGCGCCGTCTCAAGAGCGCAGCCCTGTGAATGGGGAATATGAGGGGTCCGAAGCGATCAAGGAGCTGGACCAGGCTCCAGGCCGGATGAAAGGGTGAGAGCTTGTGCTCGGGAGGATGCAACGCGCTGCCGTCGGCAGAGGACCGGTCTCTAACAGAGGTCTTGCGGTCTTGCGTTGGTGATGGCGGAAGATGTGCGCTAGATTCGTTGCCGCCTTCTCTCGCTCTGTTGGCATCCCAGTACTTTTCGAGCGCCTCGGTCATGTTGCGATCTTTGGCAAGTTTCCTGCCGCACTGGTCAGCTAATGGCAGCATTGAGGAAGAGACGGCGCTAATCATACGCGGCCATGTCTTTGAGGTTCTGAGCGTGGCGCCAGGCCCGGCCCAAGCGCCCGTAGCTCAAGGGCACAAGGATACCGACGGCAATCATGCGGGCATTGCGGGCGTCCTCCTCGTCGCAGGGCTCGTTGACGAAGGCGCTGAGCCCGGCGTGGTCGCCGTCGACAAAGTAGATGAGGTCGTCGCGGACGGTGTGCAGGCCCGAGGGCAGCGACTTGTACTCGACGCGGCCATCGAGCTCGACGGCGTCGCTCGAGGTGCGCTTCCAGACGATGGTGTATCCGGCCTTGACGTCGAAGTCGATGAGGAAGAGGGCGGCGAGGGGGGGCCGGTCGTTGGCGGCGGCGGCGGAGGAGGAGCCGGGGGGCGGTACGGCGAGGGAGACGGAGGAGTGGCGCTGTCGCCGTCGCTGGGGAGCCATGGTGCGGCTGGCAGTCTCAGTCGGAGCTGCCGCTGGGGGGCATGATATATGTGATGAGACGGCGATGGCGTTGCGCGATTGCCGGGAGCTTGGGCGGGTCGTCGGACGCCGGCGGGCGCGGGCGGGCGCACGAGCTCTGGGGATGGATAGGTTGAGCTAGGAGGTCGTCGTCTGTCGAGGGAGACGGATGCTGCTTCGGATTGTTGGACGCCGATGCAGAGAATAGTCGGTTGGGTGTGTGCCGAGCAGCGAGCGACAAAGGCAGCAGTGAATGGAGGCGTGTGGTTGACTGCGGGCAGTGCTGGTGTGGTGTGGCGGTGGTGGTGGTGAGCTGAGGTGAGTGCGTGGTGAGCTTGATGGCCTCCAGGCTGCCAGTCAGTTAGTGGAGCGCCGTCACTTCAGTACCAAGTACCTGGTGGCCCCTGCCAGGCTACCCTGGAGGGCGCGCGGGTTTCCAAACCCAATTCCGACGAGCCCAAGTTTTGCGACGCCGACACGTGATGGGGGCGGCGGCATTTCACATGACAGCAGCAGCGTTAAGCAATGCAACACGTCGGCAGTGTTGGAGTCGACCAGCAGACCAACTCCCGCTTCTATGGGGGGTAATCATGAGTAAATTTGAAGAATTGAACCTGAATCACACCGTAGATGCTGGCGTTTCTGAGAGACCTGGCCAAAGAACCGCTGATTGCCTCCTGGCAACGTCATAAGCGAGGCGCTTTTGCTGGTGTTAGTGTTGCCCGCCGTTGGTGGGGCTCCCTCTCTCCAGCGCACATGCTCCGCTGGCTGCCCGGTGGTTCGCCTCGCCAGGGGCACGTTTTTTTTTCTGCTCTAGAAGTTCAGAGGTCATACCCGAGTCAACTGACCAAACAGGATTGGACAGCG